GAAGAACATCTTGAATTATCTGGGTGGGCCCTAAATGCTATCAAAAGTGTCCTTATGAAAGAATAGCAGAGGGTAATTAAACACACAAAGGAGACAGCAATGTGAAGGCAGAAACAGAGATTGGAGTGATGCAGCCTCAGGCCAAAGAACAGGAAGGAATGCTTCCAGCAGAAGCTAGGAGAGACAAGGGACTGATTCTCCCCCAGAGCCTCTGCAAGTAGTGTGGCTCTACTGACACTTTGATTTCACATTTCTGGCCTCTGTAATTGTGAAAGAATACATTTCTGTTGTTCGAAGGCATTAAGATTGTGGCAATTTGTTACACAAGCAATAGGAAACTGATACAGGGGTCAATATATAGCAGTCAAAACAGTTTAAACGCAATAATAGTCATAACTGCCATGCCTTGCACCCTTGCAATGTACTGGGTATGTATTGTGTGACATACAGTCTTCCATTTCATTATCATAAGGTAAATGAAGAAACTGAGGCCACATAGCTACTAAATGGCAGAGGAAGGATTCGAACCAAGGTCTGTCCAACTCCAAAAACCATGAATAGAAAGACTACACTATTCTGTAAATTCCAGCATCCCACATAGACATTCATTCCACTAAAATGATATCCAAATCCTAACAGTTCTTAATGCTCGCTATGGGTAGATTTATTTCTTAATCTTTCCTTCTTTGTCCATACACCCTCTCTCATTTTGTTATCTGTTGGTTGCTCTTAGTGCCACTTAAAAAAAAATAACGTCCAAATTACTATCAGTCTGTTTTCCCAATGAAGAAACTGAGGCACAGAGAGGTTAACTCACTTGCTGGAATCCTGCAGAGCCTGATCCTGGAAACTGTGCTCTCACTACTCTGATACATACCCCTACAGAATCTTGGTCTGGGTCAGTAAGAAATATCTGGCAACTTAATACTTTTTTCTCATGTGACTTTTACTTTGTAGAGTAGGTGTATCAGCTCTCTGTGCACACTTAAAGGTTAATTAAACCACTACAAAATGCAAAAGCAGCTAGGTCTTTGTTTCCGAGGTAATAAAATCACAAAGGATTCCTGTTCAAAAATGAAGGCTATAATATTCTGTTGCCAGTGGGTTTTGTGCATTTTTCCTGTTTTAACAACGTGTACTTCTCTCTTCACCAGAAACATTAGGTCACAAAAGCCAATCTCATCTACATCTTTACAATGTTGTTTATCATCTTTTTGCATGCGGGAGATAGAACTGGTAATGAAACAGCCAAATTGGATTCCAGCGAGGATTTGTCCTGACTTAGAATACTTTCAGAATCCATTCAGAACGCCTCTGATTTATCATTAAGCCCCCAGAAGCCATTTATTTTGGGCCAGCTTTTCAGGGATAGGACATCAGTTGTGTGCTAGTTATTGGGAATTATAACACAGCTGATGAAGTGTGACAACACAGAGTCTATTGGATTCGCAAAAGATTACAGAAGGGTGTTACAGAAGTCAACAGCTATTATGCTGAAAATGTCTCTGAGCAGAGAGAGAACATGAAAATAAGGAAATAGATTCTATCCTGCTGCCTGTCATCCCTCCTAGGGTCTTTGGGTTCAGTGTACATGAATTCCCCTCCCACAGTTCCTTTCCCTACCCCTGCAGTTTTTCAGCGTCTACTCCCGCCCACTCCCTCTCTCCCTCAAGCAGGTTATCATACAAAATTAGAACTAGGGAAAAAGGGTGGATTGATACTTATGGCTGTGCAGTGGTAGGTGGTTAATTCAGCCACATCATGGATACAGTTATGTTAAGCAAAGGGCAGACAGCATGTTATTAAATGAGGTTTTAGCTGACCCATAAAATCCAAAACACTTCAGAAACCAGGAATCATAGTCTTGTCATACTCACTGTAGCATCCACTTGAAGGTGTTCTAGGTCAGCCTTCCGCCTTCCCACAGTGTATGTGGCATGCCCAGGAGAAGCTGGAGGAAAGCAGTAGTGAATTGTTTCAATCTCTCTGGCAATATTTTCTAAAATTACCAATGTACACACCTAGTGACCTAACGATTACACTTTTTGGTGATTCCATCCTAAGAGAAAAGAAAAGCATGACCTAGTACATAGTATAATATGTCCAAGCATGTTTATTACAACATGATACTCCATAGTTAAAAAAAAATCTGGTAGGAAACAATCTGCATTTCTAGCAATAAGAAATGTCTGAAGAAAGCATGGGAAATATCTATCATGCAATATCATGCAGCTATAAAAAAGAATGAGTTAGATCTATATGCATGAACCTAGAAAGATATCCACATAGATTATTAAGTGGGAAAAAAAAAAGTCAGTTACAGAGTAACATACACAATACCGTATTATCAAACTTTAAATTTCTAGGCCTTTTCCCAGAGAGTGCCATCATGTTCATATCATCTCTAAGTTTGAGGCAGCTCTTCAGCATATCCATAATGCAAAAGGAAACTGGAATCACAAGTTGAGGTGGTTTCAATGCAGCTCTTCTTAGACAGACAGATGGACTTCATAACATGTATGTGTCCTGCCCGAGCTTTTACTGCCCTGGTAATCCTTATAAAGTAAAAATACCTCTCAGTCTCCAGAGAAATCTCTTCAAGTTGGAATTCTGGGGGAGGTATTAGGTTTAGGGGCAAGATGAAAGAAGGCATTTCAGATTTGCCTTTTCTTTTTTCTTTCCTTTTCTTTTCTTTTTTTTTTTTTAGACAGTCTCGCTCTGTCGCCAGGCTGGAGTACGTGGCACAATCTTGGCTCGCTGCAACCTCTGACTCCCAGGTTCAAACGATTCTCCTGCCTCAGCCTCCCGAGTAGCTGGGATTACAGGCACGTGCCACCACACCCAACTAATTTTTGTATTATTAGTAGAGACGGGGTTTCACCGGGTTAGCCAGGATGGTCTGGATCTCCTGACCTCGTGATCCACCCGTCTCGGCCTCCCAAAGTGCTGGGATTACAGGCTTGAGCCACCGCGCCCGGCCTGTGGCCATTAATTCTTAAAGTTTCAAGTCAAAGCCATCTTTACCTCATGCAAGCTGGGTTCCTTAGCTGATACCTTCTTCTACATCTTCTCTCTAGGCCCCCGTGGCTCCCTCTATTAAGGACAGATGGTGAGCAGAAGTAGACAAGGCTTATAAACCAGGCTGCTCCTCAAATGCAGCCATAAGAAAAGAAACCTGTGGGGTGTTTTAAATGCATGCCTGATATAAAGATAAACCTCGGATATCATATATCAGGGGATCCCAATCCTCAGGCCACCTATGGGTACCAGTCCATGGCCTATTAGGAACTGAGCCGCACAACAGGAGGTGAGCAGCAGGCAAGCAAGTGAAGCTTCATCTGTATTTACAGCCGCTCCCCGTTGCTTGCATTGCCGCCTGAGCTCTGCCTCCCAACAGATCGGCAGCAGCGTTAGACGCTCATAGGAATGCAAACCCTGTTGTGAACTGCACCTGCCAGGGATCTAGGTTGGACACTCTTTAGGAGAATATAATGCCTGATGATCTCTCACTGCCTCCCATCACCCCAAGTTGGGACCGTGTAGCTGCAGGAAAACAAGCTCAGGGCTCCCACTGATTCTTCATTATGGTGCACTGTACAATTATTTCACTATATATTGCAATGTAATAATAAAGTGCACAATAAATATAATGTGCTTGAATCATCCCAAAAGCGTTCTCCCCACCTCCACCCTGGTCTGTGGGAAAAACTGTCTTCCACAAAACCAGTCCCTGGTGTCAAAAAGGTTGGGAACCACTGTCTTATAGGATATATAAAGTGCAAGTTCTATGTGTCCCAGAAAAGGATTTTAAAAGTAATTCATGGTGTGTATCATGGCGTGTATCTTATTATATATTAGTAATACTTTGTGTGAAGTGCTTCTCCCTGTTCTGTTGGATTTATCTTTGAAGTAGCTTATAAAGGTAAAGATATGAGTATAGAAAACATTCCTTCACTGGCCCTATTTTATAAATGAAGGAACAGAGACTGGATGCAACATGTGGCAGATTATGCGAAAAGTCTAGTAGCTAAGCAAACGTAAGACTTCAGATTCCCTGGATTCCACGACAGCTGACTTCCCCATCTGAAGTGATACCTGAGCACAATAGCTTTTAATCGTCAGATTATAATGGTTCCTTTTACTCTGATAATATTGCTGATATTCTAGAAATAACTTGTTTATCCATTTATTAATCTCATAAACCCCTGACTGGGGAAAAGGGAGTGGAAAGTGGTCAGAAATGGGGCTGGAACCGTCATCAGGAAGCCAGAACCTCCACTGCCTGGAGAGTTCAGTTCAGTGTCAGGCCTTTGTCTTGAGGGCAACGGGAAACTATGGAAAGGTATTTAAGTTGGGGGATGTGGTGATCAGCAGCATTTGGCAGCAATCCAGTCAGAAGATCACGACGATAAAGCAGGTGAGACACGAAGGTGTCTCAAGGGCAAAGGGGATCCCATCAAGACATGGGAACCGCCACATCGTTCTTTCCCCAATATCACTGTTTCTACACTTTTCCTTCTAGGAGGCCTGCAAATGTCTGTTATTGGGAGGAAAATCCGGCCCTGCTATTTCTCCAGCCTTCCCTTGTTCCCAGTCCGGCCCTGCCCCTTAAACATTCAGGAATGAGAGCGGAAGCGAAGGCCCAGGTCCCCGCGGGTCCCGACGCCCGGATTCCACAGCCTGTGAGGATCCCTTGCGCATAGAGGGGGACGAGGGCACTGGCACTACGTCGTGACTTCACCAACAGCCTGCAGTTCTCGTTAACGGGCTTTCGCCAGGCCCCTTGGCCTAACGCCAGGATTCCCGGTGCCCGCCCTGAGCGCTCGGAGATTAGACAACGCCCCACAGGCCGCGGCTCTCTGTTGACCATCTGCAGCGCCGAGACCGGCGTACACAAGCCTGCGGCCGCTAGCTCTCCCACAAGGCCGAGCGCGGCCAAAGGGCAGCCCCGCCCCCGCCACCTCCTGCAGCTCTATTGGCTAATGCGCCTGCCACTCAGCCGCGCGCCCGACCTCGGCCTCAGGCCTGGAGGAGGGATCCCAAATCTCGGCTCGGCTCGGCTCCCGCTGCCTCGCTTCTCCTTGACGTTTACTGTGTTTGGCATCTCTGTTCCAACGCCAGCAGCCGTTTCGCGACCCACGGCGGACTTGCGTAAACACTTTCGAGTTGGAATCTCACCCTGCGAGGTGGGCAGGGTGGTGATATTCCTGTTTGACGCCGACAGAAATAAGACAGATTGACTCTCAGAGTCATGTGGCGGGATTTTAAAGGGGGATCTTAATAGTGGCTCCAGACAGACCCGTGTTTTCTGCTTCTAGCATTAACTACGTCATTAAACACTTCTGAGTTAATTTTGTCTGTGAAATGGGGAAAAGATAGCCACCTTGCATAACTGGTGAAGAATTCGTAAACTGACAGAAAAATCTAGTAAAAGGACTGGCCCGTGGTCGGCTCTTAGTGGTGTATGTGGGGCTGTGAACATTCCCAGGTCTTCTGACCTCTTGTCTGGGACTTTTTCTGCTAAACTATCGATTCTCAGAGGCCCAGAGACTTCGGGAGATCCGGGGGCATCTTCAAGGGGATCCCTGAGTTCTAAACTGCAGAGAAACACTCTTAAGAGAGAGAATAAATATTTCCACCATATTATTACGGATAATATATATGTTGTCATCTGTTTGCCAAAGACTGTTGTAAGTGCTTGTATACATTAAGTCACTTAATCTTCACGGTGAACACTATGGTACATCCTATTATAATTCCTATTTTACAGGCAAATAAACTGAGGCACGGAGACGTTAAATACCTTTCCAGCTAAAAAGTGTGGGAGCTGTTTTACGTTCATGCAATCTAGCTGATAAAGCCACACACATTAGTGTTTGTACTGTATATTATTGTGCAAGAGGTGTCTTTGATAATGATTCTTGAGACACCATTTACAAGATGCCTCTGACTTTTATTAAACTCTCAAAGGGCAGTAGAAGAAAAAAAGAAAAATACAGAGGAACCTAAACCCTAAATCAGAGACAGACTACATGCAGATGTACAAATGGAAGATTAGAAACCCAAGTTGTGGGTACCATGTTTGGAATTCCGTTTTAGCTGAATGCTTTGGACTATCACATCCCTTGGTGGCTCCCTGGAGCTGCCCATTAAGGAAGAACGATTGAATGACAGGATTGGAATGGAATGTAGCCATCATCTTATCTGACCACACAGACACCTCCCAGCAGATGAATGCATCACCTCCACATGATAATTTTGAAGACTTTCTGAGAAAGTGATAATATTAGCCTGTTACCTCACAATCACAAGGAACAGTACAGTGACTACAAACCCTATGTGCCTTATTCAACAGATGTCACAGAATAAAGAAAAAGACTGGGAGAGAGATGGGAGCTGATAGACCAGAGGAGACCAAAGACTTAAACTGAAGACTAAATCATGGGAAATGGGAGCAAGGACTTATTTGTTTAGAGGGTGAAAAGAGTGAATTTGCCTACAGGGCAAATCTGGAAGCAGCTCTCCCTGGGAGCCAGGTTAGAGTTCCTACTAAGGTGTCCTTGGTCTCTGCAGTGGTGGTGGCCTTGAACTACACAGCACACTTGGACACTCAGCTTCTGAATGTCCAGAGCAGTCCTGAGTCTTGCCTGAGAAAAATACTCAGGTGATTGGGCTTCGCCTCTCCCTTCTGCCTTCTTTTCCTCCACCTTTCCAGGTCAGCCTGGGGAATATGGAGTGTGAGGAGGGAGGTGAGTGGAGGCTGAGTTTTGACCAATGTTATATGACATTTGAACCTGACCGATGGCAAAAGGAAGATCCTTTGGGAAGCAGGCCTATGTTCTCATCCCTTTTCCTGCCCCTTTGGATCAGATAGCTGTCAATCATTGTCTCTGGGGCTGGTAAAGAACAGAGAGGGGCACCGGACAACATCAGCCAAGTAAAAGTAGTGCTGGGGGTTGGGTCCCAAGTGATCTGTCAACACATCCTGAAATGGTATTTTGAGTGACCAGAGAAAATGCAGGCTCCATGAAGGAGAGAAGTCTTGGGTGATTCCTGTGGAGAAATATTGGTTGTGAGATTTAAGAGGTGAAAGTGACATAGACAGGAAATGAGGCAAGAGGCTGAGAGTCAGTGGCACCACTTGCTTTGGAAATGGAGCAAAGGCTGTGAAGCTCACAAAAGCTTGGTCCTGGGGTGAGGTGTGGGGAAGGTTGGCCACATAGGACAAGAGCAGGGCTGCAGAGTTAAAGTCCCAAGGACAAGCAATGTGACTGTCTTTCCAGAAAGATTGGGACCTCACCAAACTGCCATCTCCCAAGCCCTTCCATCCAACAACTGGATATTCTCTCTACGGCATGAATAACAGTTATTGTGCCACTTGGTATACAAAGACAATTATTATACATTTGCTTTGTACTGGGCTTTTGCTAACTGGCTGTAAGTGCTAACCTTTCATAAGTGACTCTAAAAAGGATGATTTCTGCACAGCTCTCTAAGTATTTGTGGACCCAGTCAGGAAAGCGGAAAGAAGCAACAGGCTTAGCAGATCATTCTGAATAGCTTTGGAAACATAAGCCAGGGAGACCCAGAATGAGGTAAGGAAACCAGTCTTCTCATTTGGAACCTAGAACATTTGAATATGGACACTTTGATGTTTACCTTGGCACCATTAGTATTGAGCAGATTTGTTAAGTATTAGTTTGAACCATCTGAATGATGTGCTGATATTCAGCTGTTTTTGATGCACAAAACATAGCAATTTCCTATGGCTGAATCTGATAAAATCCTGAGGTAATAAGATACTCTAAGAGATGTTAACTTAGTTGACTAGGGGAGGAAACTGAGGAACTTTGGGGACCTAGGTCTCTAAGAGTGAGTGTTCCCAATTACAAAACAATTCATTAAAAAGAGGCTTGCAGGATCTCCAGTTAAAAATTCTAGCTTCATTTATTTATTCATTCATTGTAACAACATCAAAAATCATTAAGCATCTCCCATGTGTCAGCCACTGTGCTAGAAAGACAGAATAAAATGATGGTCACTGCCCTGAAGGAACACACAGAATAGCGGGAAAGGAGTGAGGATGGTGCAGTGGACAGGACTACAGGGAAGGCCCTGGGGAAACAGAAGAGGAACAGAGAGAATGATTCTGGGGAGGGAAAGGAGGAAGAGAAGGAGAGGTGTGGTCTTAGCCAGAGAAGGTTTTGATGTGGGAAAGGCAAGTAATAATTAGCCAAATAGGCAAGGCAGGAAGGAAAGTTCCAGACAAAACCAGGCAGAGATGACCATATGATTTAAAGAAACAAGTTATATTTACAGTGAATATAGGTGCATTAAGTCTACAGAAAGGCATTTATCAAAGGGCTTTAGGCATCTCCAAGTCAGGAACCGTGTCATATTTATGTTCATATAGCCAGTGTTGTGTCCAGGACCATACCTAGCACATGGTAGGTGCTTGGTAGATATTGAAATAAACTGGCCTGAGGTAAAAAGCCTGAAATTGAAATATACCACAAATTTAAAAGAACTTTTTTCTTTCCTGCTCCCATTAGTCTGAATTGATGAGGTTTCAATGTATTACTTGAAATGTTATGCACGAAAACATTCATTTGCAACCTATCTCTAGAAAGAGATGTGGTTATGTAACCTTTTAATCTGTGTGTCTAAGTAGATATCAAAAGTATGTCTTGCCTTGAGGACTTTCCTAAGTCTGTTCAATGCTGCTATAATAGAATACCTAAGCCTAGGTAATTCATAAAGAAAAGAGGTTTATTTAGCTCACAGCTCTGCAGTCTGGGAAGTACGAGAAGCATGGTGCCAACATCTGCTCAGCATCTGGTGAGAACCACGTGCTGGGTTAAAAAACATGGCAGAGAAGATCACAGGGGAAGCGAATACTTGTGAAGAGAGGCAAAACCTAAGGGACTCTGGGTTTTATACCAACGCACTCTTTTGGAAATAAATCCACTCTCACAAGAACTAGTCTAGCCTCCCCAGGGCAGGAACTCAGTCACTTGGTGAGAACCATGACAAGCCATTCATGAGGGATCTGCCCCCGTGACCCAAACACCTCCCATTAGGCCCCACCTCCCACCACCACCACAATGGGGGTCAAAGTTCAACATGAGTTTGGTGGGAACAAATAAACTATATCCAAACCATAATACAGACTTTTTCAGTTCCTTATGTTGAATATTTAGTGTGTACTCTCCATAGGCCAGGTGATATAACAGGCTTGTGACCACAGTGGTAAATAAGGCAAATATAGACCCTGCCTTGAAAGAGTTTAATATTTAGTAGACAAAACAGTTATTATCTGTTAATTTGCCTGGATGAATCAGGGAAGGCTCTGAAATGGAGCAGCCTCTGGAAGATGAGGGCATTCCAGGGAGGAAGGGCGGCATATGCGCCAGCATGGAGGCGGGAGGAGATAGCATGATGTACCTGGAGAAGAACAAATAATGAGTGCTACATGGGGCTATTGGAAACGAGAAGGAAATGTGGAAGAAGAAGTTAAAAAGGTGGGCAAGGGTTAGCTCTTGAAGTGTCTTGAAAAGGAGTTTGTATTTTATTTTGTAGTCAAAGAAGAGCCATTGGAGGATTTTATACCAGGAACCAAAAATAGAGTCTGAAAATAGAGGCGCAGAGACTGGTAAGTTGGTGGTTGCCAATCAGTGGTCCAAGGAAAAGATAGATAAGCAGAGCCGTGATCAGCACCAGAGAAGAGGCAACAGAAGGGAGATGCTCAGGATACAATCAATGGGCTTCGAGAGTGACTGGACATGGGGCACTGGAGAATAAGTGACATGGAGAGATCTAGATTGACCTCTGGGCCTACAGCTCAGGAAAGTGGGTGGGAGGTGGCATTCAGAGAGACCGGGAGCACTCCTCATCTTTCAGAGCCCAGCACATGATCAACAACAGCTGACTTATGAGTAAGATCTTGGGGTCCTTGAAACACCAAAACACTGGTATTTTTAGAATTTCACATTCTTACTGCCCAAGGAAACCCCTTGCAAAGAAAAAAAAAAAAACCTTAAGAAAAGTAAAAGTATTTAAAAGGCTCCGACTTCTCCAAAACACCTCCTCTTTTCTTACTCTCCCAATTGTACAGTCAAAGCAATAACAGCAGCCACATATTAAGTCATTACCATCTATAGCCAAATAACTACAAAACCACAAGAGGGCAATGAAAATGGCCGTAAAGGCACAGAGTAGTAATTAGTTTCCCATTAGCACCAGCTACACTAATGTCAACATAGAACAATTAACATTCCTAACCTCATAATTAGGCTATAACCTCTGCATGTCTTGCCAGAGTAGATTGATGAATGGCACAGGAGGAATAAGCAATAATAAGGCAGCCGTGCAGTGAGACCACTGCATCCTGACCTTGTCTGCGGGTGATCCACAGTGCTGTTGGATAGAAAAGCAGTGGGAGAACTCAGTTGTGATTTCCACTGATCTAGCCATTCCCCAGCTAAAAACCATCTAATTCAGCTGCACTTTCTTTGAGTCCCAGGAAGTGAGTGAGTGAGTGGGAGAAAAGCTACAGCAGTAATAACACAGAAGGCAGAGTCCTTTTGCATTTATATCTCTTTATTCTGTCCATCACTAGGCAACCATTCTTTGTGCTTAAAACTACACATCTTTGTACATGTGACACCTTCTTCTTTGACGTAACCACTTTGGTTTGCAGTGTGCTAAGGGATATCTATTCTATTTATTTCTGTTTAGGTCAACCGCAATGAAGACCAATCCATTTGACCTCCATCCTGGCTCATCTCCTCTGTGTTCTCATAGCATCATATTACAGAATGGATCACAGACGCCTTTGCAGTTGCCTGTTTATTTGTCCATTTCTCCCTCCAGACTGTGAGTTCCCAGAGGGCATGTCTTATCTATGTTAGTAGCTACATCTTCAGTACGTGGCTTTGTGGACAACACTCCATAACTGTTGGAGGAATGAATGAATGAGTGAGTGAGTGAATGTTTTCCCTGAAATTCAAGCCTTGGTGGTTGAACTTGTGATTATTTGGTTTACGGAACAAGCTAGGCTGATTGAATTGACTCGGGCAGGCAGAATTAGGCAAAATGTAACACAAAGAAGATGAGTACACCAGCCTCGCTGATTGAGGAGGTTAGCTGTGGATGAGCCAAGTGCCAGCTGCCAGCTGCAGTTGCAAGGCCATGTTCTTCTTCTAGCTAAGAACATTTTGTGGCAGAGACTCACTCAGGGGTCTGAATATCAGAATCACAACCAGAAAATGGCATTATTGCACAGGCAAAAAGTTGGCGGCTGTCTCCAAGTAACAGTGTCTTGTTAGGTTCCCTAGAAGCAGAGTCTAAGACAAGGACTCTTGGTCAAGTGATTTACTGAGGTCATGCTCTCAGGAGAAAGGGAGTGAGAGGAGCATAATAGGCAGGGAGAAAAGCTAGAGGAGAGCTCAGCTGGAGACTGGCTGCAGCCTGATCACCTTGAGCTATGGGGTTCGCCAACCCTTTGTCTTTCTGTGTGGATCAGTCATTGGCTGTGGGCTATCCCCCTGGGGACAGGAACCCATAACCTCCTAGTGAACACATCTCTTATTTCAGTAGAGAGCAATTCTCTGGAAAAGTGGGCAGCTGTGAGCTGTTGACAGTATCCAGAGCTGGAGGATGGGTGCATGGCTGGTAAAGGTGCTCTGAGCATGGCACCTCCAGCATCTACAAGAGTTGTATTGTGTGAAATATTGTTATAGTCACTTCTCAAAAAAAGACATTTATGCAGCCAACAGACATATGAAAAAATGCTCATCATCACTGGTCATTAGAGAAATACAAATCAAAACCACAGTGAGATACCATCTCACGTCAGTTAGAATAGCGATCCTCAAAAAGTCAGTACACAACAGATGCTGGAGAGGATGTGGAGAAATAGGAACGCTTTTACACTGTGGGTGGGAGTGTAAAGTAGTTCAACCATTGTGGAAGACAGTGTGGCGATTCCTTAAGGATCTAGAACTGGAAATGCCATTTGACCCAGCAGTCCCATTACTGGGCATCTACTCAAAGGATTATAAATCATTCTACTATAAAGACATGCACACGTATGTTTATTGCAGCACTATTCACAATAGCAAAGACTTGGAACCAACCCAAATGTCCATCAATAATAGACTGAATAAAGAAAACGTGGCACAGATACACCATGGAATACTATGCAGCCATAAAGGAGGATGAGTTCATGTCCTTTTCAGGGACATGGATGAAGCTGGAAACCATCATTTTCAGCAAACTATCACAAGAACAAAAAAAAAACAAACACCGCGTGTTCTTACCCATAAGTGGGAGTTGAACAATGAGAACACATGGACATAGGGAGGGGAACATCACACATTGGGGCCTGTTGCGGGGTGGGGGGCTAGGGGAGGGATAACATTAGGAGAAATACCTAATGTAGGTGACAGGTTGATGGGTGCAGCAAACCATCATGGCATGTGCATAACTATGTAACAAAACTGCATTCTGCACATGTACCCCAGAACTTAAAGCATAATGAAAAAAAAGAGTTAAAAAAAAAAAGAAATATTGTCATAGTAATCACTACTGATTATTGAGCATCTACTATATGCCAAGCGCTGTGATAATTAGATGTATTTGCTTAGATACTCCTTTGGATACACCTGTTAGAAAGGTAATATATTAGCATTTCCGTCCGACAGATGAGGAAACTCAGATTCATGCTTAGAATAATTCCTTTCTCTGTCTACATTCCTATGATAGAATCAGGATAGTGCACATCCAACTGGCCTGAATTCCATGCATTCATTCTATTAATGAATTCCATCAATGCTTTTGAGCACCTATTACGTACCAAGACTAGGCTAGGCCCTAGGGATATATATCAGTGAAACGATAGTCTTGAATCCTGTCCTCAAAGGATAGGACTAAGCCTCAGGCCTAGATCCAATGTGATCTAATTAAAAAATATTATTTGGACATCTGCTATGTACATTCTGATTCACCATGCCCTGATCAAGAAAGAATCCAGACCCCGTGCCTCTGTGAAAGTCCACTTGAATCCCTCACGTAAAACATGCTACTGGATTGGGAAAACCTGTTTTCAATACTTCATGCAAACCAAGCATGGCCGGCACTTTCCCTGTGCATGAAGATTAAATTTGGTGATCTCTAAATTCCCTTCCAGCTATCACATCCTCAGATTCCCATCTCTGACCATCCACAGTGCTCATGGCTACACCTTTACTGGGGACTGTGACGGTCTGTTTTATGTGTCAACTTGGCTAGGCTGTAGCCAGTTACTCAATCAAACACTTATCTAGGTGTTGCTATGGCAATATTTTGTAGATATGATTAACATCTACAATCACTTGACTTTAAGTGAAGGAGATTATTGTCACTAGTATGGGTGGACCTCATTCAGTCAGTGAAAAGCCTTAGGAACAGAACTGAGGTTTCCCTGGGGAAGAAGAAATCCTGCCTGTGGAGTGTACCTTCACCTCTGCCTGAGTTTCCAGCCTGCTATCCATCACTACAAATTTTAGACTTTCAAGCCACCCCCACAATCACTTAAGTGAATTCCTTGAAATAAAACTCTCTCTCCCTCTTTCTCAACACACACACACATGCGCACGCGTGCACACACACACACACACACACACACACACCCCTCTCCTCTTGGTTCTGTTTTTCTGGAGAACCCTGAATGACACAGGGACTCACCATGTACTTTTCTTCTTGTAATATTGTCTGGTATATACAGTTTTACAGCTTCTGATGTGCATAGTTATGGCCCATCCAGGTTACTAGTACGTAGATGAAGCCCATGCTTAGAACACCAACAAAACAAGGATACCAGAGCACGAGAAAAGCTTATCGTCAATTCAATTAACTTAACCAGAGTTTTACAATAAGAACATGCAGAAATTTTGCTTACACATGAATTCTAGGTTTTTTTTTTAAGTATCTGTATATGGGTGGGAAGGACTATAATCATTTCAGGTTGGAGCCCCTAAATGTATTAATCCAGCTCTGTATATCTCCAAGTAGAATATAAGGTCCATGAGGTCAGAGGCCAAGCCTTGGTTTCTTTGTGAGCCTATAGTACCCAGTATGATGTTTTACAGATAATCACATACATAGGAGGTGCTGCATCAACCTAGTATTTTCCTTTTGTTTTATTATCCAGAATATGTTAACTTTGGGAAATGGGAAAAACAGGCTCAGAGAAATGCAGATTTGTTTGTTTTTAGGAAAATTGATTTACCATCTCCAAAGGAGAGGCTGCTTCCTCCATATGGCTAGGTTTATTATCTGGAAGGCAGTCCAGAAACCAGCCCTTCTCTTGTTTCTGTGTCCATTGGCAGGTGCTGGGAGTCCAACTGACTGACATGTGGCAGGTTTTGTGAGTGTTTTAAGAGAGATTCATTTTGCAACAGCACATAGGCAGGCTGTCCCAAGCCAGCAGCAAGCATTGTTGGCAGTGGAAGGGATTAAAAGGACTTTTGCAGAGACTCAGAGTCTAGACTCTTTCTTGAACACAACCTGGAATAGCAGTGTGATGTGTAAGCAGCAGGTGTCCAGTAAATTTGTGTTTATAGGCCAGCTGACCTTTGACCCCTGAATGATTAACACCCCTGATGGAGTACGTAGAAAGGGGTCCAGATCCTTAAGCAAATAACTTCTGCTTCAGGTGAGAATCTACCAACTTGAAAAGAGTTGTTTCGACCATTTAAAGGGACTTCAGATTGAGTGCAGCCTGTGGTAGGAAACTTCCACTAACTTGAGTGTACACCCTGGTGTGTCTCATCCCCAACCAAAGACAAAACTGATCATGCAGCCTAACATTACAGAAATAGAGAATAGAACTCAGAGCCCAAGAGAAATATATGGAAAGGCTTCCAGAATAAGAAAATTAGGAGAATTATAAGACAACTGTGTGTAGGGGTACCCGAAAGGCATTGAAGAGAGAAAAACAACATAAGAGCCGAATGAACTCCATCTCCCATGCATCTCTGAAAGGTTTTCCTGTAACTCCAGTAATGTTGCCCACTTTCCTGCAGGCCTTGCTAGCCCTGGCCTTCCCTCCTTCCATCCAGTCCCCTCCACACTGGCCAGAGTGAGGCTGTGTACGTCCTCTGTCTACCTAGAGCCGGTTATGTAAAGCCCACATCCTTCACAGGACACTCAAAAGCTCTCAGAACTAGCTATTCTCAGCCTCTCTCCAGCTGCATCCCCTCACTACGCCTTGCCCCAGATGCTCTTTGGTCGCACAGAACTACTTCACATTACTTTAACTACTCCATGCCCTTCCAGCTTCCAGGCCAAAAATGCCTGCAGCCAACCTTTCAAAAGTTCACCAACCTTTCCAGGCCTAATTCAAAGCTAGCTCCCATCCCCTCTGGCTGAATCCATCAGCCTTTCTTTGATGCTTTCCTAATACTCCCTACTCTCCATGGATATTGTATTCCAATTATTTATATAGTATATTCACACTTCAATTCTCAGCAGAATGTGAGCTCTTCAAAATCTCTGGGCAATGGTCCATTATTTTTAAAATTCTTGGTGCCTTGTTCCATACTTGTCACTTAGTGGGTCCTCAATAGATAGAATTAGATAAATGAAGTATTCAACCAAGTGACCTATATTGCCAAGCCTGCCCTGCAGCTCACACTCAGGCATTTCTCTCAAGCTCTTCCTCCCTTTTACCCCATCTGAAAATTGATGCTCGTTAGTGTGTCCGATGCTACTGCCGCAGATTTCCATATGTGCCCTGTGCCTTCCACACAGACTCTGTGCTCTTGTTGCAGGAAAATAAGCTTCACAGGCTGTACGCATTCAGCACCAAGCAATGTGAATATGGGGTGTCCAATAAACACTGATCACGTTAATGATTTGTGATATTTTTCTGCCATTCAGTTATGTGCTTTGAGAAAAGAGATAATGGCACAGGGTCAAAGGCCGATGTGAATTGCAGGGAAATCCACTTGTTGGTTGGGGGCATTAGGTGCACCCTCTGCCCTCCTGCAGTCATTCTCTATCCACTGCGGGTGGGTGGCCCTCAGACACAAAGGGATCCATCCCACTGCAGGGCCCTGTTTGTGGAGGGGCTGATGAGTGACCTCTCTCAAGTCAGGTATAGCCCTTAGGCCAGGAGAGAAGCTGGAAACATGCTGTGGAGCCTAGTTCCAGGTTTCCAAAGACCGTGCCTCATTTGAGTGGGGGTTGCTCTTCAGATTGAACTGAGGTGTAATTCTGCTTAAATCAACATTCAGGACGAGCCATAACAAATGACAGCTTTTCATTGCTGCTGTAGCTCCATAAGCAAGATTATCTTAGCAATTAGAGGGTAATTATTGTCTACAATCAGAAGGGGAGAAGTGTCAGAACAAGGCCGGCAGAAGTGGTCACATGATGGATAATTTATTAGATGGTGAGTGGCTATTTTTCTCTCTCCAGGCCTTTGTGAGAAAAACACCCAAATGCCACAAGTGCATCCCCAGGGAGCTGCAGGGTGGCAGGAGCCGAGGATGCAAAAACATAATTGCCTTCTATCTACTCTGATTTGAGCTTCATCAAATCCTTTGGCTCCCAGGGTATTCTGCAGCAGATGTGTGCACAATATTCCAGCACTGGGACTTGTGTCTGCGGGTACTGCTGGGGGCCCAAGAGTCTGAGGGTCTGCAAAGCCTCCAAGCCTTTCCCCTTCCTCCCAGGCCTCAGGGCCTGTGCTGGCCACCCTCCTATACAGCCCTTACTTGGCATTCTTGCTAAGTTCTCTGGGGGCTCCAACCTTGACTCTTTTCATTCCATGATGATTTCTTCTGGGCTCTGCGCCTCGGGGGAGAACTTGCAATGCTAGTAATAAACAAAGAGCACTCATGATTAAAAAAATGAATTTTCCTGTCTTAGGAGAGAACAGCAGAGCTTAAGGGCTTTCATAGGATTCTGAACAGCCACCTGTCTTGTCCGGCCATTGTCTACCCATGCATCCGTCCGTTCAGTAAAACTCTTTTGTGCTCACTGTGCTCAAAAAGCAGGAAGGTTTTGCCCCAAGGTAGTTCACAGCAGAGTGAAATACAGACTAGAAACCAGATAAGCACCATGAGGCGATTTGAAAATAAAAGATCATTCTCCTCTACCATAAACCATGAGTCCTTAGGGAGACATGGGTATACACACACCCTCCCAGATGACAAGGCAATAGCTTATACATGGGATTTCAGCTTCCCTGGAGGAGCTAAATAAGTGAACCTACGAATGCCAGTGTTTGGTCACATAGAAGGCACTGAAAAACCTATGGTGACCAAAAAGGTCAGTGGTTGCCCCACCCTCCAACACTCACCCACACACACACTCTTCTCTGATTTGACCAAGCCATTCTATTGCACCTCTCTGACACAATAGGCTGTTTCATACCTTTGCTATCTTTATGTTTGTCTTCCAGGGCCTGGTCTGCTTGGTGAGACCTCAGCAGCTTTGGAACCTGCTTTTCTAGAGACCTCTCCAGAATCTCCTGGCCAGGTTCAACCTCTGCCATTACTGTGCATTGTCCAAATCTTCCTTGCACTTAGCACCCTGGAGCATGTATGTGTGATCTCAGGCCAGCCAGTGAATGTGCACTTAGAAAGCTCACTCATCCTTAAATCCATGAGGCCCAGAACAGAAACAATCAGATGTTCTGAAAAAATATCAGTGTTAACTACTCAAGTATCTTCTTGTTAAAATATTCTTCTTAATCTGTCTCTCATATTCAATCATTCACTAACTCAATTTCAGACATTTATTGAACACCTACTATGTGCCAGATATTATGATGAGCCTACCTGTCATGGTCTCTTTTGGAAAGAATCTTCTAAACCTGCATCTTAAAATTACCTTTGGGGGTTGTGCTGATAGTGTGTATTCAAGTCTTGTGGTGAACAGGAGGAAAAATATATCATCTTACCTTTGCAGAGGTTATTTATTTTTTATAAAGCATCTTCAAACCCTTTGGTTAAGACCTCTCACAGTTGAGCAAGTAGAGTTGTGCTGAATTCTAATATAGGAAACCATGGGAGGCAACATGGTTTGAAAATCTGAGCTATGTGTCTTCTCTGGAGAGAGCACATGCATCCACTAGCTCCTGACTCCACTTTGAAACAGGGATGGATAACAAATGGCATCAGTGCCACTCAAAGAGTTGTAAGTGGCAGCCAGCTATTCCTCTGCCTAATGATTGCTTTGTGTATTCATTTTCCTCTTTTCTCATTTTGATCTCTCCCATTTCCTATCTTCCCTTGCTTTCTGCTTTCTCTCTTTCTGATGACTTTATCCTCCCATACATTCATGCCCTTGAAGGGCATTACTTAACACCCGCCACTAGGCACTCAAGAGGTTTGCTTCCCCTTTGCTTCTAGGCTGGATTAAACCCACGTTCCAGCATGTGGTATGGGAGGCAGGGAGGGCCAGAACTGGCACAGCCTCTGTGTCTTCAGGCTGCTGATCATTCCATTCCACACCAGACTTTCTGAGGTGAACGAGCTAAACCAGTGGCACAGGTCTGACCTATAAACAAGGCAGCACCCAGGAGCAGGCCATTGTTGCTTTGTCTGGGTTGAGCACTCAGCTTTGTACAAGTCAGACAAAACACCTGAACATGGAGTCTGGGCTCCTGCCCAGGGTTTCATTCTCACTGTCGCTAAGCCACAGGATGGGAGCAGAAAGGCAATGCTTGCTTTCAACCCCCGTGCACACAGAAAAGCCTCCTCAGCCCAGCATCAGCTTCCCTAAACACCACCCAGGGGGCAGTGAATGTTGATTGACTGGTCCTGATTTACTGGAGCAGAAGAGGAAAAGAAATGACAGGCCCTAAATGTCAAGGCAAGGAGGAGTGTGGCCTGGCCGTAAAGAGAGCCGAGAGTGTGCACTGGGATAGGTCACGTGACTAGGATTCTCAGGCCAGGAGAGACCAGAAGCCAATTCAAGTGGGAGGTGTCAGAAATGCAAAGTCGGCTGTAAAAATGTCAAGAGCAAGGCAGGGAATAAGGCAAAGGGAAGAGTGCCTTCTGTTTTGTGGGAGGCAGGTTACAAAATGTTAGGAGTGCACATTTACATTCATATGTCTGTTTGGTTGCAAGTCGAATCTGCTGTCTGCTGGAACTCAGGAGAACTGATAGGAATGCATCATCCAGAAACCTGATCCTACCCCAGGGAGTTCTGATGCTACCTTCCTATGCTGCAGAGGACTCTCCTGCTGCAGCACTAAGAGAAATTTAGATAGTAAGTCAATCCAGACATGCGCCGTGAAAGTGAGCTCTTACAGGCGTGGCTTGCCTGGTGAAAGGTAATGAGGAGTAGCTGAGGCTGCACCTGCTCAGGAGCCCATGTGCTCAACAAGAAAACTCCAAGCTTGCTTCAGTTTGGCATTGTTTTTAATGAACATTCACTGTTTTAATTCCATTCACTGTTTCTTGTTTACTTGAGATGGGGTCTCTGTCACCCAAGCTGGAGTGCAGTTGTCATCTTAGTTCGCTGCAGCCTCAAACTCCCGGGCTCAGGTGATCCTCCCACCTCAGCCTCCCCAATTGAGACCACAGGCATGCACCCATCTTCATTCTGTTTCTTATCCTTGCTGGCCTACTGGAGGGGTCCTCCTGGAGATGAGATTCTTCCAACCTGACAAACTCTATAATTATTTCTACCAGAGCCACAATCTTCCTGGCCAGTGGCTGAAAGGGGGCAACGCCCAACATGGAAATGCATACCTGCCACTCAGCAGGAATCTGGCGGGGCTGAAAACCCACCACATAAAGGCACTCTCAGGAGGCAGGAACCGGGCCACTGTCTTAGTTTCAATTCCTGAAACAGGAATCTAGATGCAGATGTTTACTGGGAATGTGATCCCCAGAAACACAGTGAGGGATTGGAGAAGCAAGATAGAGAGAGGCGGGTTAGCCAATAAAGGGGGTATTCATGAGCAGGATGCTGCACAGAGCACTTGGGTAGAAGTAGAGTAGAAAACACGTCGATTTTCCTGTTGACAGGGGGTTAAAAAAAAAAAAAGACTTTATTATATATTTTTTAAACCAGCTCCATCCTTCATTGGTTAAGGGTTGCTCCAGGCACCTTTAACTCTGATGCTGTTCTGGGCTTCCCCATGCAGGGGCTTAACAAATTTCTGTGGCCAGAGAGAGTCATCAGGCAGAGATGCAGAAGCATCTCTGGGTAAGAAGCCACAGTGTGTCCATGAAGCTGCAGATGACCTGCAAGGGAACCTGTTCCATCCACCTGCAACAGCCATCATGACAGTAATGTCTTCTCATCTGTGTGTCCAGACATGTGCACATGTGCATGCACATGCACACACACTCACACACACACAAATGCAACTTGTTGTACCCTTTTCTCATTTGCACTCCCCCTCACCATGACCACGTAAAAATAGAGTCTCCAAATAGTCTCAGCCCTGCTGAGCCATAGAGCCTTGCCCTGCAATATGAGCAAGTAGAAACAGTATATGTAGCCTCCCAGGCCCCAGCTACTCCAAGGTAAATCCATGCCAGTTTCTAACTTCAGCCCAGCTGGAAAGGCTAGGACTTGCACTGGCTGTTTTGCTTAAGCCCTGCTGAAGGGCAACATGGGGTGATGGGAAAAACTGGAACAGATGTCAGGAATTTGAGGTTTCTTGTGTCCTGTTTGCCAGTAAGTTACATAACTTCCTTAGTTGACTTCTAGAACTTAGTTTCTCCCTTGGTAGAACTAGAGTAATAATACCCGCCCTATTTGCCTCTAAGAGTTGTAGGAGGACTCAAAAGGAGCCAATTCACGTACCTGCGATCTCCTTGACATGCTAGGGATATTCCTCGCAAAGCCTTATCCTGCTGAATCTTCACCTAGTTACACTGGTTTTAGGCTTGAAGCAGGGACCTTGCTGGCTGACCTCTCAAAGCCTCCCTTTCCCTTGTTCCCATGTGTAGCATTCTGTTTTGGGAGCACAGAATGTCCTCTGATCTAGAGGAAGCTAAGCCACTGTTTGCAATCAGTCCAAGCAGATCAAGTTAAGGACAAGGCCATTTTGGAGGCACACAAGGAGTCCTCTTTGCAGATGGGCACGACAGGCTTGCTTGCAGCCTGAGTGGTGAACAGCCCCTTCCATCTCTTCATTTGCTCGTATCAAATAGCAAATTCCAGAATCACTGTACAGAGTGGTGGATGGGACAACACAACTTACCCAAAATATTAATAGGCACCCATGAGGGCACTAGCTGTTGTGCCTAGTCTGTGTCATTAAGGCCTGAGTGATGTCAACAGAGAAGTCATTGTTGGCTGGACCTGTCCCCTCCAGCTCAACCAGGGAGTGTTTGTTAGTCACTTAGGAAGAGCTGCCCTAAAAGGTGAGTGTGGTTCTCAAAGGTGGGAAAAACTAACAGTTCTTGAAGAGGACTCAAGGTGTATTGGACCATCAAATACTGGAGTTGATGCTGAAGTCTGTAACAATGGTAACAATACCCAACGTGTATTCATGGTGGGCTCAGCCAAGATCTCTGGGGACTAACGAGGGGAAGGGTGTTGAGCCCTTCTACACAGGCTCAGAAAGAAAGGTTCTCATCATCCATTTAGAAACAATGGAAGCAAAGGAACTCTTTGGGACAGAAACTTTGTCAGTCGGGGAGAGGCTTGAAGGAGACTCTAAATGGTTCCCAGAATGAATTCCCATGTAAACCTAAAGAATGCTGACAGGGAGAAGCCACTGCTCATTCTCCCTTTTAAGCCAAATAATATCCTCCTGCCGGAACAGAGTTGTTCTTGGCACTTGGAAGTAAATGTGAGGAGGGAATCAAAACACAATGCCTGAGAAAGAAATCCATAAGAAATCTGAAGGCCAGGACGTGGTGAAAAGTAATAAAGATAGATGGGTCAGTGGCAGGAACAAAGATTAACTGTACCAGAGGAGATGGTGCTTTGGCTCTGAAAATAGGGACGAGCCAAAGCAGGAAGTGCTGCAGAGACACACATGTCCTTCATTTCCACCCTGAAGGCTCAAAGGAAGGCCGCTGCCCAGCCACACGGAAGCTGCAAGACAGGCTTCTGGAGGCTGGGGCTTCCTTGCCCTAATCCTGGAAGGATATTCCACGTCTAAATCACTGAAGCTTCATCCTGTGATGCAGAAGCTCTCCCCTTGTGAACAACCAACACAGGAAGTAGTGAAACCTGGTAGAGAGAATATTCTCTTTCTCCACCTTCAGTTATACCAGAACTGCCTCCAGGGACTTTGGCAGGTTTGACAAATGGCAGAATAATTTAGAAGATTTTCTTTGTTGGCAAAGGAAAGCCAATGGTTGGGCACAAACATGCTGCTGCGGTTGTTTGTACAATGAAGCTCTAGATTGCAGGCAGAAATGTCAGGTTCCTTTCAGCTGTCTTCAGAGCTAATCTAGTTCCCACGTGCAAACTCAATCTGTAGCATTTGGGTAAAGAATACTCAGTCCTATGCCATGACAAGAACAAATTCATCACCCACACCATACATTGTAGCTAAGGGCATCATTGTGCCCACATGAATCACCAGGCAGAGACGGCTGCCGACTCTGAAATTCTTTACTCATAGAAGACTCACGTACACTAATGCCGACTATTTACGCAAGCACATTTCTCCAGGTGGCCTGGAGCAGTTTACAAGATGTTGGCTCATTCCTTATCATGTCACTTGGAGGGAGAGCAAAAGGTGGGGAAGAGGAAGGGCCGGCATCATCATCTTCATTTTATGTGGGGAAACTGAGGCTCACACAAGCCATAAAGTGAAATGTATAGACATTTATGAGTCAGAAATCGACCATGGAAGAGGCAAAATGAGCTCATCTGAATCATGAGTGGACTATGTCTTGCCCAACAATTTCATGCAGCTCTTCCAACACAACTGTTTTGATACAGCAGCCTCAAAACAAGCCAAAATTCAGACTCGCTGTATTTGGTTTATAACCAATTTCCCATCTTTCATTCCTTCTCTGACTTCTACCTGATTTCTGAATTTGGTTGACCCTGTTTTTTGTTTGTTTGTTTGTTTTGTTTTACTTTAAAAGACCCTCAACCCTCCTGGGGTCCTGACCTGCTATTTCTTTCATTTTGAACCTCTACCAGTCCTTACCTTCATCTGTTCCCAATCCTTATACCCTTGATGCCTGGAGGTAAGATTGACAATGGGGTGAAGATCAAGGTTGAGGCAAAGCTCACAGATGGCCTGCAAGATGCCTGTTTTACTCATCATTTATTTTTTAAAAAGCTGAACATTTATCGGCTGAATTTTTGAGCCATACCAAAATATCCTCATGTCAAAATAGCTGCAGTAAAGTGGTTCTATTAAAATAGCTGCCTCCAAAGAACTGAGAGTGGAGATGTCACCTGCTTCTGGCACCTGACTTTGGTCCTCTTCTGCGTGGCATTGCCTTCTGCTCTGCTGGATTCTGGTGTGTGGCTCATCAGAGGAGGCACTAACACCAGGGCTGCCTTTTATCTTGCTGATCCAAGCGAGGACTATGTAGGTGTCACAGATGAAACTCATCCAGAAACCCAACAGGATGCTAATGGCATGGCCACGTGTTTCCAGCACACCATGAGGCAGCTGGCTGGCATCAGTCCTCTCCCCAGCCTCCATCCCACCCCCATCCACCCATAAGCTCTTCTTGGTCAGAAATGCAATTCTTTGATGGTGCCAGACAGCCAGATGATGCTGGAAAGAAGAAAGAAAAAGAAAAAGCAGGTTTCTAAATTAAGCACAAGGCTCGTTTATAAAAATAAATAGCCACAGCCTAGCAACGTGCTCACAGCTCAGCTTTCCTCCGTAATAAAACCTCTGTGGCTGAAGCCTGGGATGACACAGCCTTCAGAGGGCCCCACGCCCTGGCCCTCCTCATACCCTGGCCCCTCCCAGGGTAGTACTCATCTGGAGAGTGCTGACAGTGGTACTTTGAGGGCCCCATTCTTCGTTCAAGGCCAACCAAGGGCCAGACTCCAAAAAGCAGAAGGAAGGCAGAGCTTAATGAGGCCCATGAACACTTGCAGACTCTTGGCAGCAACTAATACACCTGTAGCAAAAGTGGTCGAAGTTCCTTGGGCTACTCTGTTGAAATAGGAACTCCTTAAGACCATGTCTTGTTTGTTCACCATTGAACAGTACTCAGCTTAGCACAGGGCACGTATTGAGTACTCATTCACTATGTGAGGGAAGGCTGGTTAGAGGCATAAATGAATGAATGAATGCTGCCATCCCATTATTGATGTTCCCCAAACTCTTCACTACAAATGGAGTCAGTTCCAGAATCCAAAGAGAGGCATCCTTCTCCTGATTATGACATGCACCAAAGAGGCATCCCCTGAGCTGGATATTTAAATCCAAACCCACAGCTGAAGTGAGCACCAAGATGTACTGAACAAGTGTGGGCTCTTACTGACTCAAGTGGTGAGGCTGTTACAATGGGCAAGGGCAGAGGGCATGGGATATGTAGGTAAGTATTGTTAGCATTCCTGAATCTTCTCCTGTTCTTTAGGCAGCAGCAGTTCCAAGGGTGAGCTGTTGCTCAGCAGAGAAATGGCAGGACAAAATAGCACATTTGCTTCTGGTCTTAGTCCTGTTGGAACACAAAAAGTGGCGTCTTCAATGCTGTTGGAGGCTCAACAGGTCAAATACATCAGTAATAGGCATGGTATGAAAAATTTAATCCTGCTACCAACTCCCCCAAGTCATGGAGTGGTTAAGTATGGCTGGGGTCATACGGAGACAGTCCTCAGAATACTGAAAATGTGATCATCCTGAATCCCATAAGGATCCTCGTGAGGTTAGAAGGGGCAACGTGACTCCATTTTGACACCTGAGAGCAATTGCTTTGGTGAGTTTCTACGTATTCCTTTGTGATCAGAGAGTGGTACAGGACAGCATGTGAAAGTCATAAATCACCATCTCAGAGCAGGGCTACTTAGTTACAATATTTAAAAAGAACAGAGAAATTGTCACACAGCATCATTTAGAAATCTATCTTCAGGCATCTTCGTCTGGCCTGGCTGGAAAGAGTAAAACCATATTTATGTCATTGAGAAAAAGGTTCTTAATTAAATTCAAATGTATAAGAATATATCCTAGGTCTACTTTTGGAACAATAATCTGGGAACAACAAAAAAAAATCCAAACAGCAACAAAACTGGTACAATAGCATTTAGCTTCACACAGCAGCATATAATAGAGAAGCAGAAGTCCTCGTAGACTCTGGACTCTTAGATTGACAAATCCCACAAGCCAGAGCACCAAAGTCATTGCACTGGGACATTTAGGAAGAAGAACTCTAGCAGTGACCTGATTAGGAGACAGCTCCAGCAGAGAGTCAGCACACAGACTGGCCAAGCTACCCCCAGATCTTTGGTGATATCTCTTTGGTGGAGATAAAGGAAACCCTTTCCAGAGCAGGCCAACTATGGCATCCACAACCATAGTCCCTGCTCAAGCCTAGTGAGGACATAATGTGTTCCGTAAGTCCCTAAGGCTCCATGCCCAGGGCTCCCACTTCTGACACGGCGGCTCAAGGATAAGACCCCACTGACCCCATTCTCTATGAAGGGTACAGAAATACGTAAGAACAGAGTCCAGTACTCAGCTCTGTGACCTTAACTACTTGGAAACTCATTTTCCTTGTTCATAAAGTGGATAGAGTAAAAACAATGCTTTCTGTCTTCCAAGAGTGTATGAGGATCAAATAAAATACTATTATGTTCAAGTGCTTCCCAGTCTGCAAGCTATTGTTTCACGTGACCATGTTTTATAAAATATAAAGGTATACAGTGAGAAGTTTGCTTCTGATGTGAAGATTGAGACTTCCTTTGTCACAAACTTTTAGGGTGCTGCCTGGTTCCATCTTATTCATAATCCTATTTTTTTTTTTCAGATACCCCTGGCCAATTCCTTGGCTTAAAATACCAAAGACCTAGCATTTTAAAATTGTGTTTCTGTAACTGCTTCTTTCCTCTTACAATCCCTCAAAAAGTCTGCAATTCTAGAATGCATGAGGAACTCTGGGGCTCACATAGTCCACCACTCCACTTTGCAGATATACACGCAGAGGCACAGAAAGGTTAGGCAGTTGTCCAAGGTCACCTGTGGAGTTTCACTCACCCTATCCTCAGCTTCTCCCACAGCCTGCCAGTGTCTGCCCTCCAGTGGGTCTTTGACAAGGGCCACAGTTCAGATTCTACTCTTCTGCAGCTGGGACATCCATCTTCTGCCCTCGGACATCAGAACTCCTTGTCCTCAGGCCTTCAGACTCCAGGGTTTACACTAACAGCATTCCCCCGCTGGTTCTCAGGCCTTTGGCCTTGGACTGAATTATACTACCAGCTTTCTTGGGTCTTCAACTTGCAGGCGGCATATTGTCCTTCCATAATTGCATAAGCCAATTTCTATAATAAATCCCTTCTTAAATATCTAGATAGATAGGTAGGTAGGTAGATAGATAGATAGATACATACATACATACATACATACATACATATCCTATTGATTCTCCTTCTCTGGAGAACCTTGACTGATACAGATTTTGGTGCTACACTCCCTCAATAATGACCACATTTTCCCACTTTTAAGTGAGTAATTGTTACTTAAGCTAGGTGTCTTATTTAGGATGTGAGGGATGGGGAGCCAGAGGATGGTAGACAGTTGAGGGCAAGTGGATTAAAGCATGGCAGTCATGGGAACAGGCACCTCTAGTGATCATGATGCCTCATCTTAGATTATACCTTTGGAATTTGCCTTTTGTTTTTGAAAAAATAAATATATAACTATTTCATTTTTGTAGCTATTTGTAATAATTTGCTTCCTCACAGAAATGACAGAGTACATTCATGCAAAGCATATAAATGCACCTAAGTTGTTTTTGAGTTGTTTTAAAAGAATGTGTTAAGAAGTAGGATTTGTTAAGTGACAATTCTTCTACCATCAGCCCACCTTCCTGTCTGCAGATGACCTTATGTCTATCCAGGAAAGAAAAAATGAGGTTATTTTGTGTGAAATCCCACCCATCATCCCTACACCTACCTATCCATTTGAAGCCAAATTCTCCTCCTCCTTCCCTCCTCCCCAAACTACGTACTCATACAAAGAAGGGTCTTTCTTTCTGTCTGTGATTACAACTCTACCTCTGTGCTAGACCTATGGTGACCAACCATCCTGGCTTACTCAGGACTGAGGAGATTTCTGGGACACAAGACTTCAGTGTTAAAATCAGGAATATTCCTGGCAGACTGAGACAAGCTGGTAACCCTGGTAGACCCCATGCCCTTGCCCAGGGACCTTTCTAAACAAGCCACGATTGAATGAATTGATACCAAATAGTAGCAAATTGCTATGTGTTATTGGTGGTCAGGAAGAGAACTAGAAGGGATGAATGAATGAAATGTAGTGATTTTTTTTTAATGAAAACCTTCATGAATATGTTGGGAAAAACCCAGAGGAGGATATCCTGTTATCCAGATGAGCAGAAGAGCAGAAAAGTTACACTGAAGAATTTATATAGAGATATAGATCCCATTCACTTGGTGGGTAAGTCAGGACAATCCACATTACATAGGAAACAGACCATAGTATTGCTTCACAACTTTCTAACTTCCTGTCATGCATTTATTAAAAATTATAACATCTGCAACATAGGTTAAGTTGAAAGGAGAATCTTCTTACGGCCACACATGACCACCTGAGTGGCCTCATGACCACGGAAACTACCTAGACCCCTGAGGACTGAGAGGTTCAGTATTTCAGCTCACATGTGACCCACTGACCACTTACCACTATGTGGCTGGTTGGGAATCTTTGAACTATAGGATTATAGCATTCTGGCCTAAACAGGCAGGTCTAGACTCTACTCCATCACAAATCTGAAATCTTGACCCACATTCTCCCTCTGGTAAAACTAGCAAAGCCTAGGAGGTCAAACTGCCTCTGATAACCCGATATTGCGAAGCTTCCTCAAAGGCTATTTCCTGAAATGTGGGTTCCTGTTTACATTTCCCCTTCCTTGGTCCAAGTTTATCCCTACATACGCACAGAGTTGCGGCTTGACCAATGACTTAATGATTTTGGGAAAGAAGGAAGTAATCCTATGCTACACTCAGCTTATACTCAATAGTTGACCTGAAATAAGATTTAAAAAATTTTTAAAGATATTGCCAACAATTTAAAAATTCAGATATTTTTCATTAAAAATTTGAAAAATAAGCTGGCTTCTTTCAAAAAAGGAAAGATCTAGCAGCTTGGGGCCATAGTTTTCCCATGGGCACAATCATCTAAGACTGAGGGCCTTGGATAGTCCAGCAGACGGGTGTGTTGGCTGCCAGGGTTCAAATTCCATCGCTGCTAACTTACAGGTAACTGTATACATGAATGTACCCTCTCAGAGCCTTGGTTTCTCATCTTTAAAGAGTGTAAAACTAATAGTATTCATTTTTGTATACAAAAAAATGCTTAAAACTGTCACATATTAATCATTCAATAAATGCCAATGGTTTTCCCCCAACACATACACTTATACAGGTAGTTTTACTGTTTTTCTTACCTTCATGGTCCCATGAGTGTAACTGCTAGTCTAGATAATTAAATGAGTTTGGCAACTGTGATACTTTAAGTCACTAGGATAGCTCAAGTCCACATCCTTTCCTGGGTTGACTGATCGCCATCCCAGCATGAAACATGTC